GTCCAAATAACTACTGAGCAAGTACAAAGTACATGTACATATTGTAATCATGAACATGCCAAGCATGCATGCAGGTACCGGTAGCGATGCAGTGTTGATGCTTGATGGTTAAAAAAAAAATTTGAGCCAACTTGAAGTGAATATATACACGTACTGTACAGGTACTGAGGGCAATATACCTTTTTGCTGAGTCTGATACTTCTGTGCCATGTATTTTGTTACATACATGTACATTTTCAGAAACCCCCCCAAAATAAACATGCACTGCAAATTTAACCACGGTAAAACAAGGAGAACAAATCCAAAAATGTTTCAAAGAAATAAGACCAGGCAGAAATGAAAGAGGAAGCAAGCGGGGATAAAGAGACTAGTTTATTTCTTTAATTTACACATGTAAGGGAATAAATATGTGCTCGGCCAGCCATAAATGTTCCCTGAAGACCGGATCAGGACAATGGAAGCTGATAATGCCCAGGCTGAAGGTGAGGGGACATTATCAGCATCTACAGTATTCTCCAGAGCCGATCTTGAAAAGACAGGCCACACACACATTTATTCTCATTCATCAATTTCGAGTCAGAAAGTCAGAACAAGTTTTAAAAGCTATAAATTTCCCAAGATTTTATTCCACAGGTTTACATCACTTTTTCAAACACCCCTCACAGCCATGTTATGGTACAGTACATGACTTTCAGAACTTGGTAAAAATTTTGAAAATCGGCATGCTTGTACCGGTACATGTACACGTAGCGTGCCCTGCGTGAGGTGAGGTGGCACACAGCCAGTCAGTGCTTTATCAACTTTTGAAGACCGGCCAACAAGACAGGCTTTCTGGACAAACAAGAATGCCTCAATATACAGTCTTACACACGGTACCGCTACATGTAGGGTGTTATTTATGAATACATGTACTTGGTTTACCACTCGTACCTGATCTCTATTTGCTTGTGGTTTATGTCTGTGGGATAGTGACCCTTGCTCTGCTGGTATTACGCTTTACAGCGGGATCATAAAAACTGAGACCAGGGCGAATGATTAATAATCATATGAGCAATAAATACGTATAGACTGGGTGATGATAGATTGCTAATTTGATACAAATTGTGATCATGTATCTGATTGCTCACGTTTATTTGATGGACCCTGCAGGTACCGGTATTACAAACAAAACTGTCACAAGATTGAAGATCAGTTGATGTAAATTAATTGTCACGCGGCTGGACTTCCCAGTTTTAATTACCATCAGAGTTTCATTGATCCGGCACCAAGATGCAGCGAGTTGACTCACTTGCACTCCGTGTAACCGTGGGTGCACATCCATACCCGTCCAAGCTCAGTTATTTGATATTTGTCACGTTACAACAATTGAAGGCTGCAAATGCGAGCAAATGGTGCGTGCAGACCTGCAGAGAGGTGTTGATGAAAACCCAATGAATGCCTTGGGAAATGGGCCTCATTTTTACGGCAAGGTGCACCGACCGGACAAGGTTCCCGAGTCCTGTGATTAATGCGAGGGCAAAACTGGAATGCGGACTCACAGTGGAAACTGCAGTGAGGAAGAATGACAGCAGACCAACTCTGAGGATTGGGTCTTTCAGGATGTCAGGGGTGACTTCTGTGTTAAGGTTTTTTGTGTATCCATGTGAAAACATACTTGTAACGGAAGATCCCTGAAATGGCTGGTGAATATCAAGTGTGACACTCTAGTGGTAAATGTACCCATACTTGTGCACTGTACAAACACGTACATATTCAGGTAACAGTAAGGTACCATACATAATTTGATATTTTTTTTTTTTCATTCAAATGAAGTTCATGACTTCCAGTGGCAACAGGATCACTGAAAGCCGACACAGAATGATTGGGGGAAAGCATGAGCCAAATAAAGGAGTTCACTGTAAACTAAACCTCTCATGTTCAGCGCATTCTGCCTTTAATTTTCAGGAAATGATGCTTCAGTTGTCATGCCTGACATCTCACTCTTCTACAGCCGTTCCCGGAGCAACCTCATCTGATTGCGGCCCTCATGCCACGGGAGGGCTAATATCAAAACAGGAAAGGGTAGATTAGAGGCAGCCAACCGCAAAAACAGCCGGGCGCGAAGAAGCTGATCCTCCTCATCTAGTGAGCTACGCAGCTGCCCATCTCTTTATTTTGTTTTCCCCTCTCCCCCCCTCCACTCAACTCCTTGTTCTGTCCCCAGTGTGGCAGGTGCTGACAAACTTAATTTGCATCCTGTAGCTGCCAAACTGATTTGGAAACCCTGGCTGTTCTCCCTATGGCCATCCCCTTGACCCTTCCCTTCACTGGTTTTATGATCTTTGTTTGCCCAATTACATGTAATTACAGTCGGCTGTTGATTGGTGTGGCTTCAAAGCAGAATGTACACTGTACATGTATTCTCCATGTCTCCATACTGCATAAGTGTATCCAACTGTGCCTTTACCTGATTTACATGTATAAACTTGCTACATGTATGGCACAAAGGACTCATGACTCTAACACTGCATGATACGGTATTTCCACTGACATTCATTTCAAAAATGAAAATTGCTTCATAAATGTCATGCACACCGGTACATATGTACATGTACATGTATGTATGCAAGTGTGTTTGGTTGTTTTTTCAAGATGTATTTTAAAAATTAAAATTGTGTTTGATTGTCTTCAGCATAAAATGCCTTTGGGCACCATTGGACCCGATTGAGAGAACTAACAATGCGACATGGCTGTTATAGAGTTTTACATGAACCGGCACTTTGAACCTGCTAGGAGACTTCACGATGCAAAACTGTACTTCTTGCTGCTTTCTTAGACACCGGAATCTGATTTTCAGGTGAAATGTGACCCACTCTTCAACAGAAAACCTTATTCAAGCACAAGGTCTCTTGTCGACTACCCTACAAGAAACTTGGATTCAAGGGTCCAAAACAAACAGGTGAAATGTTAACATATTCTGCTTGGCAAGAACAGACTCATGAGTTGAACACGATGCACACAAATAAACTTACATAAGATGTGGTCAGGGGTTTTTTGGGGGGGGGGGAATGCAAAAATCCTCTGCTAATCGAGCCACTCATTGAATGTGAATGTTTTTGAATGACTGTGGCAATGCTAGATAAAACGCCCACCCAATAATTAAGTACATGTACATGTAATCTACCAAAGCTTACCGGTACCAGTCCATGTATCTCCTACCAAATACAATGTACCCTGTACATGTTATCTCTTTACAATGGGGTCTAATGGGAATTACATGAAATGGCACACTCTGAAGGGGTTGTTTATTGAACTGTATTGTAAGGCCACACACAGAGTTACATGTACATGTAGTGTATGGATTGTTTATTATGGACCTGTTTATTTCACATGGATCCAAATCTGGATTCAAGATGTACTTTGCGTGGGAGATATGTTTATTTTAATTACAGGTTTTGCCCTTACTGGACATATATATTGTGATCTGTTGTTCGTTCACTGACATCAGAACCTAATGGATGGATTATCAAATTATCAAACACAGTTACGGTACTTCAATTTTAGAAAAAAAGTCACATGATTATCAATTACGTGTAGGCAAAAAACAAGACAAAAAAGCATCTGATTATATAAACCTGTAATTTTGAGGAGAAAAAATGGGGTCAAAAATACCTAGATTTTAAGTTTGCAGGGACTTACATGTACACGGACGTGTACTGTACATGTAGTAGGCCTACTGTTCTCAGTTTACAAAAGTGTTCTGAAATGATACTTTCCCATCAAGCACCCTTCAGTATCAAGTATCAAGCCATGCCTTTTCATGTCCCAGTTTGTCAAATGAGAAACTACAAGGTAAATCCTGCCACAGTAAACCAATAAAGCTCACAGTTTACCCTTGAGTACTAGAACCCGATATTTTAAGACAACATCGTGCTTTGCACATTCAGCAGAAAAGGCAAGATGTGGAATCGACCAGCAATTACGCCAGTTTTAGTACCGGAAGTTCACTGACAGTGCGCGTTATGTGTGCAATTTGTGTCCCTTAGGAGTTGTCACAGTGTAAAAAATTGATGCCGTCCTAAGCAAACTTTGTGCCTCAAATGTTTCGTCTCCATTACATGAAAGATAAAGCAGCAACATTGTACATATACACCTCTCTCTTATTTGTGTAGAGACCATGGTTTTTGCTTGTAAATCAGCTTACTACAGGGCAGAAGAACTGTTCTCAAGTTTTGGTTCCTGTGGCCCCTTTTGGACCGATTAAAACACAAAAACCACCAATTAAAAAACAACCATTATTCATAGGATGACTCAAGCAGTGTTGTTGTCATGGGTCCTCACAATTTCTCACAAGTGGATCACAAGACATCCCATCTTGGGACAAATCCTAAGCTTTTCAAATGATCTTTTGTCACTGTTTTCTGACTTTCTCACTTACATGTACAATTTGACTTGTGATTGATCTGTGACAGAATTGACATATGACCCAGATCCTGCACGATTCACTAGTTTTTTCTGGGGGGGGTGGAGAAAAGCACATCCCAGAGGTTTATACCCTCAACTGGAAAACAAAAACCCTCAGTTTCTCTTCTATCAAATATCTATTATGATGAACAAAGAAATTGACTAGAGTGGGATTTGAACCTGCAACTTCTGGAATACGGTACCAGTGCTCTACAAACTGAGCTATCCAGCCTTACATGTACGTTTGGGGGGGGGGCGCTAGCCAGAAGCCACGAAACCTGAAACACCATGTAGCCAGGGATCACACCTCAATAACACGATACAATCTAGGAAATGGATCAGGGATCACTCAAAGAGGATACAGCTTTTTGAACATACATGTATATTATAAAAGAAACTATATAGGGAAACTGACAAGGTGCTTATAAGTGATTTTAATGATGACCAAAAAAATCGAATAAAGCCATCCTGAAACACATGGTGTTTCAGGTTTCATGGCTTTTGGCTAGCGTCCCCCAAACAGAGATATTGACAAATGGGAAGAGCCACCAATGTAGGGCTGGATAGCTCAGCTGGTAGAGCACTGGTACTGTATTCCAGAGGTCGCAGGTTCAAATCCCGCTCCAGTCAATTTCTTTGTTCATCTTTACAATCATTTATAAGCACCTACAGTAGTCAGTTTCCCTATATAGTTTCCTTCATAAAATATCTATTAAGTTAGGTCAGCAAAGGCTGTGTGAAACTTACTGGTACATGTACATTAAACGATTCAAAAAGTGAAGCTCGGATTGAATTCTGATGACAATTCCACACCTCCTGTTTGTTATAGGCACTAGTACTTCTTAGAAAGTGCAAAGGTTAATAACAAAGATGTAAACGTATTTGTCTCCACTGGATAGAAAGCAAAAGGCTTCTGCTTCACCACAGTTGTTGGTCTGAACAACATCAACTATCAGGCCAACATGCAAGTCCAGCTGTCCAGCCCATAACTTTCAGACAGCAACAGCAAAACTGCCATTGAGCATCTGGTTTTTCCCCACTTTCCGAAATCGGTGTGGTCAGGGTGCATAAGGATATTACTGTCACAGATAACAACACCCCCTGGTTTTAACTTTGCCACCACTTCTTGATTGACAAGCATGTGTGAAAGGCATTTGTGACTACAGTACATGTACCTCCCTCAACTCAGGACAAGCCTGAGTTGGAGTTATTTTATTAAATTGTTTCTCAGTAATGACGGGGAGCAGAGTGAAATTTTCATGGCCACCACAACAGGGTTAACAGTGGAGTAGCTTAATAATGCATGGTTATGGTTAAATGCAAAACACATGTATCCTATATGTACTGGTATGGTTTTTACTAGGATGAATTTGACATCTTAACACAAACTAATGAAAATGACCATTTCAAAAACTGGTTTAATGAACAGTGCAACTGGAGAGTGGATTTAGGTATCAAAAGTCAAATCAAACTGATAATAAAAATCCCTCAGTGGGAGACAAATGAATACCAAAATATGCACCTACGCTAAATGTAATTCCCAAATTCCAATGTACATAATAGAGAAAATAACAAGACATTCCTACTGAGTAATACATTATAATAGATTCAATCTGACTTTGGGGGGGGGTTAACATTCAAATTGCTTAGCCAGTGCCTAAGAAACACAACAAATTGACTGGTTTTGTTCTTGTTTTTTGTTTTTATTGTACGGATGCATAAAAAAAAGCAGAAAAGGCTCTGCATTTAATCAAACACGTACAGTGCTAAAGACAAGCCGGTGGAATTCTCTGCAGGGCACAATTTTTCCACCTTGATGCCAAACTGAGATGACTTACCTTGGCGAAGTTGGCAACTTATCATCTGAGGTCAAAGCATCAGTAAGCAAGTTCATCCCTGAAAAAAAAAGAAGAAATTTACAAAGCAATGCTTCATATGAACATGGGAAAGGAATCCATTTAATCTTTAATCATCAAACTAAGGCCTAATTACTGCTACAATAGGGCATAACACACCAACCACAGCAAACAAGTCATGACAGACTGTTCTTTTTTCCCAGGCACTCAGCATTTTGCAGCAAACATCCCATTCACAACTGGAGAGGGCTCACTTCAAGGACTTAGCAGTGCAGTCTGCATGTTCTTTACACTGTACACATACATACATGTAGGCATCAACGGTTACATGGGCAATTTTTTTTTATTTCTGCTAATAGCAGTACAAAGAAAATTTGCAAGAGTGAATTGTATAATGTGATTGAAATATTATTACATCATGTGTTTTTGGGGTGACTTTTGGAGGTTTTCAGATCTGGTTGAAAAAAAAATTGAATCCACTTCCTGCTCTGGGGGGGGGTTTAGCAGATAATGAGGGTACAGTACATGTATTTCAGTATACCAGGCAAGATATGGGCCGGAGGGGTACCCCCCTTA